TATTTTTTTTTTTATTTTTTTTTTTGTTTTTACTTTTCTCTCCTTCATGCAGATATTAACGGATGAGCTTGTCAAGGAGGTTGAGAACTCAATTGCTGAATTTAAACGCCACAACCAAGAATATGACGAGGAGCGTGTCAAAGGACAGGTTACAAATCACAAATCTTTCACACGTGTTCTTTTTTCCTTAATTTGTGATATGTATCTCCTGGTCCTTACAAATAGAGTAGTACTAGATCAGTTGTTGAGTATCAGACTCATTTTTCTCTGTATTGCTGCAACAATATTTGATTAATTTTAACATCATATTAGGACTGGAAAGAAGCACACACAATCCGTTTTGTGGAATAAAATATTATGTTTATTGTTGGCCAGGTAGAAGAGGTACTTGAAGGAGCAAAAGTGCTAGAATGGCTGAGAGAGCGAGCTGAAATCCAGTACATAACCAAGGGGGTTGACTGATAAAAATTTGCTTTATCAATGGACAACAAGACGCATCAGCTGCAGATCACATATTTCTGGTAAATTTTGGCATTTTTCCATTACACGCCAATCAAATTCCAATTTCAGATGAATGGAATTTCAGTATATGTAGCTGTGAAGCAAAACTCATTTATGTGATCTCTTTCTTACATCTGGATGAATCTCGACATAGAATCCATAATGTAATGACAATAACACGAGCCAATATAATAATGTTGAAACAAGCGTAAGCAGTTTTCATTTGTGTATGCTTGGTGAAATATTAGCATTTGAAAGTCAATGTTACTGTTTGTCAAAATTGAAAAGGTTACTGCCAGCTGAGAAAATGGTTACAGGACAACCCAAATACCTAAAAGTCAGATGCTACGTATGCTACATTTCTCCATCAGAAAAAAATTCAAAGGTCATATACAAAAGCTCTTTAAAGGTATCATTAACTCTCGATAGCCACATCCATGCTTCAAAGACTACCATATTCTTCTCTGAATATTTGGCCTAGCATCGTGTATAGTCTCTCTTGCTCTTCAATTCTCAAATTTCTTACTATCTGCAACATAGTAGCTGCAATTTAACTGGTGGTAGTCTTCTTATAACACGTTATGGTACTTTCTTTTCATTTGTCTTTTCGCTGTATCCATTCTGAAATGAGTATTATGTAAAGTTTTGCGAAAAAAGGTTTTCACTAACCTGATCCAAGATAATCTCGACTGAGTTAGTTTGAGGTAGAACAAAAGATTGATAATATATGTAGGCAAATATGGCCATCACCATCTACACAAAAATGAGGAATGTCTGTTAGGGGAGCAGTAAAAGATCTAAGGTCTAGTAGCAAGAAGAAACCAAAGATGACTAGTTAAAACCTTAAATCAGTTAAAAGAAAATTAACGAAGTGGTATTCGTGCTAATTTTCATTGTTTTGTTAATACTGTAAAGTTGAGCCACTGACCTGGCAATCCATACGATCTGTAAAGCCGCCATGCCCTGGAATACTATCACCAAAATCCTAGGACAAAGGCCGATATTCAGAGGTAAGATATATTGGGAGTTTTAAGGAAGCTTTGTACCTTACTAGTGAAATGAAAATTTTTGCACACCTTAATCTTGAAAGCTCTCTTCAAACCACTAGCAAAAAACCCCCCAAAAGGCGCTATTATCGATGCAAATAAACCTAGGCATAACGCATGCAACTGCACTGGCGAGACAGCTATTCCTTTCCATGGGAACTGTAGGAATTCATTAAAACAGATTTGAAAATCGTGGATATATATGAACATGGTATTTGATGAAAGCTAGAGGAAGAAATTATCAACAGAAATAAAGTGAACATGGCCTAAATAATTATTATTATTAATGTTAATCCTGAAGTAGTGCATCATTTTGTGGATGCAACTCTATCTGCTTTTAGACATGGGAGCTAACTGCAAGTAATCATGCACAATCAACTCACCCATTGAGGCAGCCACAGTGAAAAAGAATAATACTCTGACTTGAAAATCGGCCCAGGATCACAGTTGAGCCAACCTGTTGATAGATCCTGCATTCACTATTGACACAATAACTATCCATAACATGATCCCCTGTTTCGTTTTCTATGTAGGATTTGACAAGAATTACCTTTCTTG